AAACATTGGTGAAAGATTGGGTCGCTCTCAAGAGCTCAGTGAATTCAAGCATGGTACCGTGATAGGTTGCCAAGTGTGTAATAAGTCCATCCATGACATTTCCTGGCTACTAAATATTCCACGGTCAACTGTTAGTGGTATTATAACAAAGTGGAAGCAACTGGGAACAACAGCAACTCATCCATGAAGCGGTAGGCCACGTAAAATGACAGAGTGGGGTCAGCGCACGCTGAAGCACACAGTGCGCAGACGTCACCAACTGTCTGCAGAGTCAATAGCTAAAGACCTCCAACCTTTGTGTGGCCTTCAGATTAGCACAACAACAGTGCATAGAGAGCATCATGGAATGGGTTTCCATGGCCAAGCAGCTGCATCCAAGCCTTACATCACCAATGCAAAGTGTTGGATGCAGTGTTGTAAAGCACGTCACCACTGGACTCTAGAGCAGTGGAGATGTGTTCTCTGGAGTGACCAATCACTCTTGTCTGGTAATCCAATGGACGTCTCTGGGTTTGGCGGTTGCCAGGAGAACGGTAATTGCCTGACTACATTGTGCCAAGTGTAAAATTTGGTAGAGTGGGGATTGAGATGTGGGGTTGTTTTTCAGGGGATAGTTCCAGTGAAGGGAACTCTTAAGGCAACAGCATACCAAGACATTTTGGACAATTTCATGCTCCCAACTTTGTGGGAACAGTTTGGGGATGGCCCCTTCCTGGTCCAACATGACTGCACACCAGTGCACAAAGCAAGGTCCATAAAGACATGGATGAGCGAGTTTGGAGTGAAGGAACTTGACCGGCTTTCACAGAGTCCTGACCTCAACCCGATAGAACACCTTTGGGATGAATTAGGGTGGAGACTGCGAGCCAGGCCTTCTCGTCCGACATCAGTGCCTGACCTCACAAATGCACAAATGCACTTCTGGAAGAATGGTCAAACATTCCCATAGATACACTCCTAAAGCTTGTGGACAGCCTTCCCAGAACAGCTGAAGGGTGGGCCAACTCAATAGTGAACCCTATGGACCAAGACTGGGATGCCATTAAAGTTCATGTGTGTGTAAAGGCAGGCAGCCCAATACTTAAGTAGCTAAAAAGATCACTGGTGTCAGAGGTTACTAATTTGAGAGGGAAAAGTTTCTCACTGCTGAAGGAACTCCTAGCAAACTCTGGAGGAACCCAGCTGTTTCATGAAACCCTGGTTGAGAAAGGCTGCTATAGGGCAATCCATAACTTTAGTTTGCTGTCTTGCAGGTATTTCTGGATAACAAAATGAGCTTAACAGTATGTCATATAATGTGGGAGGTAAAACAATTAATATATACTGTATGTATTTCAACTGTGTACTTAGCTGCTTGCCTGGAGTTCAGCTTTAAACGCAGGCACCGCACTGGTCATGTGACTGTGTTTCCTGTCGCCCGGTTGTATTAGAAGCTATGAGACTTCTCCTTTTTGACAGATTCTGAATCCACATGGGAGAAAACATGTCACAAGCGTATCTGGGTTTACTGTTTAGCTTGTCTGCCTTCTGTCTCATCACATGTGAGATCTCCTGCCGCAACGAAGCTGGAGAACCTGTTGACTGGTATGTATCAAGTAGATGCAATGTTATCTTAAATAGAAGAAAGTGAAACCAAACTGACGAGGGAACATTTTAAGGAGACTTCCAGTTTGGTGTTTCTCAGATGATACAAAATGACAGGGCTCTGCAAATAACGGGGGGGATTTACTAGAACACACAGAATCTTGTGCAGCTGTGCATAGTAACCTATCAGCTTCTAGATTTAGCCCTGGTTCACACAGGATGCGACTTGGCATGCAATTTGTATGCCCTGCGACTTACAAATTGCTTGCCAAGTCACACCCTATTGTCCGCAATTGGAGCAGTCATATCGGTGCAGTTCCAACTTGGTCGGAGCCGCACCAATTGCAAAACCAGTACATGCACTACTTTTGGTGCGATTTGCATGGACATCCGTATCAGATGTCTTGCAAATCGCACCTGAAATCGGCGGGTCCCCCGACTTTGAAATTGTGCGACTTCACTGTAAGTCTCACGATTTCAAAGTCAGGCTTGATGTGAAGTTAGAAGCTGATTGGTTACTATGCACACCTGCACTAGATTCTGTGTGCACCCGTTTTAGTAAATCCCCCCCAATATGTAGATGTATTTGTTATTTGCTATTTTTCTAAAGTTATGAAGTCACTCGGCAAGCGTCAGTACTTATTTACTGGTGAACTCAAGAAAACAAACAAAGAAAAAAACACTACTTCATTAGGGCTGTCTACCCACCAACATGCAGGAAAAATACAAACATTGGGGGGGAGTCTCAGTTATAGTGAGTATGGCATGGAAAGCAAAGGGACTTGGCCTCTTAACCTTTTCATATTCAAGGTGGTTCTGAAAAGACCTACAGGTAAGAAACCAAGCTCCTTTGGACACTTCTTAGCACTCTACAGCATTAGGGTGTTAAGTACCTGGAGGGAGAGCTTGATGAGATGGGGAATGGCCTCTCTTACACCTCCAGTCCAGGGCCCCTGATAGGGTGGACAGGTAGGGCAAGGGTGGCACAAGTGCTTTGCTGGTCTGCTGGATACTGGTACGGGTAAATGGGAGCCACTGGTGAGGTCTGTGATGTGTGGACTTCCCCAGGTAAGAAACCAAGCTCCTTTGGACACTTCTTAGCACTCTTCAGCATTAGGGTGTTACATACCTGGCAGGAGAGCTTGATGAGATAGGGATGGTCTCCCTTACACCTCCAGTCCAGGGCCCCTGATAGGGTGGACAGGTAGGACAAGGGTGGCACAAGTGCTTTGCTGGTCTGCTGGATACTGATACGGGTAAATGGGAGCCACCGGTGAGGTCTGTGATGTGTGGACTTCCCCAGGTAAGACACCAAGCTCCTTTGGGCACCTCTTAGCACTCTTCAGCATTAGGGTGTTACATACCTGGCAGGAGAGCTTGATGAGATAGGGATGGTCTCTCTTACACCTCCAGTCCAGGGCCCCTGATAGGGTGGACAGGTAGGGTAAGGGTGCAACAAGTGCTTTGCTGGTCTGCTAGATACTGGAACGGGTAAATGGGAGCCACTGGTGAGGTCTGTGATGTGTAGACTTCTCCAGAAGATAACAAGTAGGGGACCGATTACTGGAGCAGTAAATGATGAGTACAGAATCAGCATATGGGTGAGCAGACAGGTGCATAATAGGTGGAGCTGCAGGCAGGTAAGCAGAAGGGATGGAAGAGTTGAGGTCTGGTTCAAGGTTGGGAAGGCTGGGCGGGTAGATGGTGCTTGGTCAGGATCAAGCCAGGGTCAGTGTCAGGCAATCAGATCTAAAGTAAAAGGAGCAGATGGGAGCATGGTCATGGAGCAAGTTGAGACTGGTACAGGCAGATCACAAGAGCAGGTCAGAACAAGCCAGGTTAATATCGGGAAATCCATTAAGAAATACTGGACGCAGGTTAACAGGTACTGTGAAGGCAAGTCAGCACTGGTTATATGCAGCTATCTCATTTAAATAGTCCGCTTGGTGCCAAGAATAGTCCCATTCATATGATCTGTCTTGCACAAGTAACCTATGATTGCGCATGGATGCTCACACAGAATCTCCATTGTCCATACTGGTGACCTTCCTGACAAAGGGATGCAATTTTACTTCTTCCCTTCTCATAGTCCAGTCCTGTGGTAGAGGAGCAGGAACCCAGGGTAAATTCAGGTACTTAACCCCTTCCCGCCATGTGTATACATATATGCGGCCTCACTGAAGTGCGTCTTCTTCCCTGCGACAGCATATATGCCTATATGTTTTTTTGCTGGGAGCATGCTACAGAGTGCAGGGACTGTGCTCTCACCAAGAGCCCATACTAACGATAGTCCCGGTTCCTGATTACCCGATCGGTGTGATAACCTCTGATTGGCTATACAGTGATCTGTCACTTTGCAGCCAGAAAACTGACCACGCTGTGCTCTCATGTCTAATGTGGTCAGGTTTTAATAGGAAAGCAGAGGAACTGGCAGGAACACCAGGGATTTCACACAAAGAAAGCAATACAAAGAACAGGATACTTTTTTAATAACCTCTGATTGGCTATTACAGTGATCTGTCACTTTGCAGCCAGAAAACTGACCACGCTGTGCTCTCATGTCTAGTGTGGTCAGGTTTTAATAGGAAAGCAGAGGAACTGGCAGGAACACCAAGGATTTCACACAAAGAAAGCAATACAAAGAGAACAGGATACTTTTTTAATAACCTCTGATTGGCTATTACAGTGATCTGTCACTTTGCAGCCAGAAAACTGACCACGCTGTGTTCTCATGTCTAGTGTGGTCAGTTTTTAAAAGGAAAGCAGAGGAACTGGCATTAACACCAAGGATTTCACACAAAGGAAGCAATACAAATAGAACAGGATACTTTTTCATACAAGTACATGATACAGCATGCACATATCATGAATATGAAATGTTGGGTTTACATCTTCTTTTAAAGGTACTTTTTACAGTGATTGTTAACCCCTTCCCACCCAACCACTGTGTCCCTTTACACAGGTCTTTACACCCAGGGGCGAAAGACAGACCACATGACCACTGTTATTGGCTGTCACATTGGTCACATGATCAGGAGCCGATCCCACTGGCTCCCAATCACAACTAGAGACCAAGAGTTATCTATTACAGCTTGATCAGTGTGCTGGGAGTGCACAGTGAGCATGCTCCCAGCACAGACACCTCAGTCATCCATGAACGCACATATGCAGCTTGTGTGTGTTAAAGTCCAACCTCTTTGCAGCTGTACATACAGGTTACATGGGCAGCAAAAGTTTAATAAAACAACTATGCTACTGCATACGTACCATTGGGGGCGCTATTGAGGTGGTGACTTTCTCTTTACATTAATCTAGGGTTAATGTTTTGTGAATCAAGCCTGTAGTAATGTATACATGGTATGTAGTTCTGTCACTTGTGTGTTATGTTTTCCAGGTTTGTGGTTTACAAATTACCAAAATATAGAATCAATGAGACGAAGGGAACAGGACTGGAATATCTGTATCTGGACTCCAGGTCACAAGGATGGCAAGTCAGCAAATTCCTCATTAACATGACTCAGAGTGCTCTGGGGCAAGTGCTACAGCAGCTGTATACGTCTTATAAAGTGAGCACCGGTCCTATTTACTGTAATTGGAAATCAAATCTTACAACTTCACATAGAAGTTCCCAGGTTGAATCCCCCACCAAAATTATAGGTTATCTGTGCCATGAGTCTCCAGGTCCAATCCACTCATCTGCTGTGGCCATCACAAGGGGATCTTAATCTAGCCATACATCACTAGATTTATGAATGAACGTTTGTATGAAAATTCTCAACAGCACATTCAAGGACTTGATGAAAGTCGTTCAAAAGTACTTTAAAAGGATGTTTTCTTTTAACATTCGACTTTGGAAAAAATGTGCTTCCAAACAAAAATCATTTGACCCCCATCAATAATTAGAAAATTGAAACGAACATTCCCGAAATTAAAGTTTTTGAAGAAAATTATTATATTGCAGCTTACCAATTATTAGATGTGATAGTTGTATTAGTTTTCTTTTTTCTGCTTTCTTTTCTTTATTTTCATCTTGGGAACCATCCAGCAAGTCTGTTGTTTTTCAAAAGCACAAGCCTCCAGCAGAATGTACCAGTTTACATGGATGAGACAAACCACGTAACACTGGCACGGGAGAATAAAATGATCAGATTTTATTTATTCACGCAAAAACTTTATCCTAAAAGGAAAAAACTGTTGCTGTAACTGAATATAAAGTGTGAGCTGGAGTTCTGCTTCAATTTGTTAGTGTATCTAAATCTGCCAGTACATTTAATACTACCCTCCCCGCAAGGCTGAAATTGGTGCTGTGTGCTGTGACCCCTGTGCTCATTCCTCCAGAGTAGTTTTGGGTTTTAGACCACTTTAACTTTCTGCCTTTGCTCACATAGCATATATCTGTTGATTCCTGAAGCCTGTAGGTCTAAATTTACCGCGGCCACAAAGCATAACATCCCAGCCGTAGCATACATCCCAAAAACTTAATAAGTGCACAAAAAAAAAAAATAATGTGCTAATCTGCATGCTTACCCCTGAACATGAATGTCCCCTCCTCCCAGTACAAATTACTCCCCCACTGAAATCTGCCCTCTCAGCACAAACCTTTGCCCCCTCCCATCCATCTTCCCAGCTCAAATCCTCTCTCCCCCCAAAAGCCCTCAGCACAACCCCCCCCCCCTCCTAAAGAAATCAACCCTCCTAACACAATTCCACTATCCCTCGAATTTCCCTTCCAAGCACAAATCCCCTCCCCACTCAAAATCCCCCCTTCCAACACAAATTCGCCCTCAACTTCCCCCTCCTATCACAAATCCTCCCCCCTAAATTTCCCCTCCTAGCACAAAACCCCTCTGATCATCTCTGCTAACACAAATCCCCCCCAAAAAACATTTCCCCTCCTAGCACGAATCCCCTCCCCCTCTACCCAGGGGCGGACTGACAACTCATGGGGCCCCCGGGCAATAGGGGATCATGGGACCCATGTGTCCTTGTCCACACTCAAACCTCACCCAAAAAAGCCTATGAAAGGTACCAGGGGCATCTAATGGGGCCCCTTACTGACCCCGGGCCCTCGGGCAGTGCCCGAGTTTCCGAATGGTCAGTCCGCCCCTGCCTCTACCATATCACTTCTTCTATTACAAACCCCCAAACTCCTCTCCTGGCACAAATCTTTTTTCCTACAACCCCCCCAAACACACACAAATTACCCCATATCACCACTCCTAGGACCCCTCTAAATCCCCCATCCTAGAAAAAAGTCTTACCTTCTGTCACCCCCCCCCCCCCCCTCCAATTCCCCCTCCCCTCCAATGTCCTCACAGCGCACCCCCATCTCACATGATTCCACAGTGCCCAGTGAAGCCGCCCTCTTGCCCACCCCTTGCCCCGGCCCTGGTGCTGGTATATAATGCATTCCAGCAGACAAGTGTTATAGGCACCCTAATGTACGTCCAGGTGTTTGTGGTTTTTTTTTATGTTTTTTAATTTTTTTTTTTCGCTGTCTGTTTATTTTTCGGTTAAAAAGAAATTAAAAATGTAGCTAGCATGGAGCTGTTTTTGGTACAATTTCAGGATAGTTGAAAGGGCCTTCCATAATGCTTAGTTTGGTCATTCTCATGATAACAGGTTGCTTTACACCTAATGAGTGTATTTTAGCATCACATTCAGCATCATGTTTTTTCTACTGACATGATATCTTTTATTTCCTAGAACAACAGCACAGCATACATGATATACAACGATGCCCCTCCAGGAGCAAACAACTTTTCCACACACTATGGTCACACTAAGGGTGAGTTCAATCTCATTGTCTACATAGAGAACCTGCAGATAGTTATACACTGTGAACATGCCATAGGAGATGGTCAGAGACTGGACATGCTGTGAGACATGGACACTGTGGACATGGTATGACAAATAGTTAGTGACTGTGGATATGCTATAGGATATGGTCAGTAACTGTGGGCTTGCTGTGGGAGATAGTCAGAGACTGTGGGCATGCTATAGGAGATAGTCAGAGACTGTGGGCATGCTATAGGAGATAGTCAGAGACTGTGGGCATGCTATAGGAGATAGTCAGAGACTGTGGGCATGCTATAGGAGATAGTCAGAGACTGTGGGCATGCTATAGAAGATAGTCAGAGACTGTGGGCTTGCTGTGGGAGATAGTCAGAGACTGTGGGCTTGCTGTGGGAGATAGTCAGAGACTTTGGGCATGCTATAGGAGATAGTCAGAGACTTTGGGCATGCTATAGGAGATAGTCAGAGACTGTGGGCATGCTATAGGAGACAGTCAGAGATTGTGGGCATGCTATAGGAGACAGTCAGAGATTGTGGGCATGCTATAGGAGACAGTCAGAGACTGTGGGCATGCTATAGGAGACAGTCAGAGACTGTAGGCATGCTATAGGAGACAGTTAGAGCCTGCAGACATGCTATAGGAGATGGTGATTGGCCAGAGACAGTGGACATGCTATAGGGGATAGTTAGAGACTGCAGAACTGCTATAGGATGTTGTCAGGAACTGAAGTCATTTTTGTAGAAGTGGTTAGCACTTCCACCTAGCAGCACTGGGGTCATTGGTTCAAATCCCAACCATGCCACAACCTGCTAGGAGATTGCATGTTCTCCGTGTGCCTGCGTGGGTTTCCTCCAGGTAATCCAATTTCCTCCTACACTTCAGGCACACTGGTAGATTAATTGGCCCAAGTACAGTTAGGTCCATATATGTCTGGAAACAGGCACAATTAAACATTTTTTTCAGGTATTTACCAAAACATATTCAAGCTATAGTTATATAATGGATATGGGCTGACAGTGCACACTCTCAGGTTTAATTTGAAAGTATGTACATCCACTTTGAAAGAAGGGTTTAGGAGTTACAGCTCTGAAGAGTAGCCACCCCCCTTTTTCAAGGGACCAAAAGTAATTGGACAATTAAATCAAAAGCTGTTTCATGGCCAGGTGTGGGCTACTCCTTCATTATTTCTTCATCAATTAAGGAGATAAAAGGTCTGGAGTTGATTCTAAGTGTGGTATTTGCATTTGGAATATATTTCTCTGAACCTACATCATGCGTTCAAAGGAACTGTCCATGCAAGTGAAACAGTCCATTGTAAGGCTTCAAAAACGAAACAAATCCATCAGAAAGATAGCAGCAACATTAGAAGTGGCCAAATCAACAGTTTGGTACATTCTGAGAAAAGAAGAATGCACTGGTGAGCTCAGCAACATAAAAAGACATGGACGTCCATGGAAGACAACAACTGCTAGACATCACTGCCATCATAGCCACTTATAGATGGATGCATTCACATTTGTACTTTTTTTACAGCCTCCTTAAAAATGACCTTCTACATGTCTGATCATCCACATATTAAGATTCATAATAAAAAAAAGACTGACAAAAATTCATGATTTCCTTTCTCTGATCTTTTATTATGGACCCTGTTGTGGGGTACATCGATGTGAAGGGCTGTCTGCAGTCTCTGTTTTCTACAGCATGTACAGTATGCAATGTCTATCTCCTATAGTACCTCTAATCTTTGATTGTCTAATTTAGCATACCCACAGTCTCTGTATGTCTATGCAATATGTTCGTAGTCTCCCATCATGTTCTCCAACATGTTTGAAGTCTCTCACCATCTCCTGCATCATGCCTACAATAACAGCTATTGTCTCCTACAATATGTCTGCAATGTATAGGTGCCTCATGTAGCTTTTGATGGTATCTGACCATCTCCTGTACAAATTCTGATGATATCAGGGGCCAGATTGAAGTCCTCCCTTATTAAGCAATTTGACCATACTGGGTTCTGAATCCGTCGTTTGTACTAGACCAGGAACCTCCAAACTTTCTAAACAAAGGGCCAGTGTACTGTCCCTCAGACTTTAGGGGAGGTGGACTGTGGCCAGTGGGTGGAAAACGTTTCCCGACATCAGGGGGAGTAAATAAAGCCTCAGTCTTGGTGGTCAGTGGGAAAAAAATGCATATCACCTGTGGTAAGTAGAAGAAGGAATAGTGCCCCATCATTGGTGTCAGTGAGAGAAATAGTGCCCCATCATTTGGTACCAGTGGGAGGAATAGTGCCCCATCATTTGGTCAGTGGGAGGAATAGAGTCCCATCATTGGTATCAGTGGGAGGAATAAAGTCCTATCATTGGTCAGTGGGTAGAATATAGCACCATCATTGGTGTCAGTGGGAGGAATAGTGCCCCATCATTGGTGTCAGCAGTGGCATCGCTATAGGAGTCCTGCAATCTGTATGTACACGCTCCTGAACCCTGGGCTCTGTATCTAGTGTTCTTCTTAACCCTGTGCATAATGCGCTCATGATATTTAACAATGCCTTTGTAAGGCCCATCTATTACACTGTTCAACAAATTTTTATTTTTTGCCAGTTTTGGAAACAAAAGGATCCATTTCTTAATGAATTTCACATTCTGAGTTCAAATATAACAATGAAATTTGTCAATTGGCTCTAGTTTTTCTGTAAACGGAAAGTTTTCTACTATAGGCGTAATGACTACATAATGCACAATAATTATATAGATAGATGTCTTTCCACAAATATAAAGCAAGTGATATTGACTACATAACAAAGCCTAAATGGCATAATATATTGCATAGGATTACCAAGAAAAATTATAGCCATAAGCTAAGTTGAATCATTTTAATACTTAGGATTCTCACTAGTTTTGTCTTCAGTTTGTGTCGGTTTTGCTTCTCTTGGCTTTTCTCTTGTATTCGAGGACAGGGCTATCTCTTACAACTGCACGTGACTACACGCTTCAGGTTCTTCCTCACTTGACTCAACCACGAAGAATTCTGGTGCTTTAGGAATTGGTAGCCCCTCTCCATGAGGAACTGGACGTATTGCCGATATTTGGATAGTGCACAGATAACTTTTTCTTCTTATTTAGCCCTTTTACAATTGGAGGCACCATACAAAAGTAACAATTACTAACATGATCTGTTGGCTCTCTCCAAATCATTGGCACAGCGAAAGGCATAGATGCCTTTTTTCCATTCAACCATTGCTCCAGTGCCATCCCACAAGAATTGCAGCATATATGTGGTGCCCAGCTCTTGTCCTGGTCTCCTATCTTGCAGCCAAAATACAAGTTGTAGGCTTTCTTAATCATTCCTGTTATCCTCCTTTTTTGTGAGATAAAAGTTATTTTTCACCGCAGATATAGCAGAAATTATCTGCTTTATTCACACAAGTTCGAGGCATTACTGAGTAGCCTATATAAGCATAAAACGAAATGTAAAGACGCTGTCGAACTACAATCAGCTACAGATACTGCAGCTTTTATGCAGTGAAGTGATGCAATTAAAGGCTAATATTGCATCATCTCAGTATACATGCAATTTTCTATTGGTCACCAGTATCAATTGCGCAATATGCAGCTGAAGTTGCATCATAATTTTGAATGGCTTACGTCATTAGATGGGTGAATATATCATGGAAACTAGAGCCAATCAACATTTTTTAGGGTCATTTTCGTTTTCAGCACCCCAAAATTATGTAAGATTAGCTAATTTTATGCCCAAAACTTTTTACCTGTTGAACAGTGTTATTAGTTCAATTCAGCCAGCCTACTCTTTCTTGTGGTGTGCTCTCCCCCCCTGCGGGGGTGATGCAGTGGGGGCATGGCTGAGTTCCTGCACCTATTCTCTGAGCCCGATGCACTAGCCTGCCCAGTGTCTACTGCTCTGTCCTGCTCCTGCTGTAACTCTGCAGCAGCAGGATAGATCACTGTGGCAAGCTGGGGGGGGGGGGGTGCAGTGTGCTAAAACATGGTGTCTCTGCCCCCAGGGGGCGGGGGGTGACACTATGTTTTACTGACACCAACCCTAGTGACGCCACTGGGTGACAGTGGAAAGAATAGTGCCCCATCATTGGTGTCAGTGGGAGAAAGATTGCCTCATCATTGGTGTCAGTGGAAGGAATATTGCCCCATCATTGGTGTCAGTGGGAGGAATAGTGCCACATCATTGGTATCAGTTGCAAGAATTATGCCCCACTGTTGGTGTCAGTGGGAGGAATAGCGCCTTCTATCAGTGGGATGAATAGTGCCCAAAGGGCCAAACAAAGGCTAGCAAAGCACCTCATCCAGGCAGTTTGGACACCACTGTACTAGACGTATATACAGTAATAACACAACCACAGAAATCTGTGGTCAATGGGACAGTATAATATGGCCTAGAGGGGTGGAGTCATTCCAAGATGTATGTCCTCTCACCTTCTTAGCGCCGCCATTTGTTTTTTGTTTGAAAAATTAAGACTGGCTACGTGGTCTTTGTCATGAAGCCTCTATCTGCACCTTCCCCTGTTTTTAACATTTTTACATGAGTTCCTTCAGAAGGTCAAAGCAAGATCATGACCAGAAGTTTCTAACCTCACACATAGCTTTTGTGGATCAATATCAATTTGTCAGTTAAAAATTAGCTTCTTTTCATTCAACTTTCAGTACTGTCACATGTCCTAAACCTAAAACATTATATATAGTGTTGTATTTAAAGAGGAAAGTAGAGCCTTCTGCAATAGATAACTAATTGGTATGGGCAAACATCTCCAACTGTACTTTGAACACAGTGCTTACCATGCAAAAATAATATTATCTTTAAACTGCAATTGTCCTATTAAAACACATGCATTGAAGTCCATAAAGGCCAATTGGACCTCAGTTCAAATTAGCTGAATACATTTCACGTTAATGTTGCATTTGTCTGTGGTTGCAAGGGACAGCTTCTGTTTTCAAGGACCTGCACATGGCAAACAAACTTCCCAGTGAGTGCCCCAGGTTCCCATGCTAAAGCACCCATATTTTATTCTTCAGTATGTGAACTATGTGGGTGTTGGGACCTGGGGTACTCATCAGCAGAATAGCAGATGCAACACAATGCCATGGTTGGGTCAGTACAATTCAGGGAAGGATGGGGTAGTGGGGTTAAGGTGCTGGAGGTCGTTTTGTCATGGTAGTGGGGGAGATTGTATTGGAAGGTGTGGGTAATTTTTGCTTGGAGAGCACTCTATATGTTACTTACTCCTGACCCCTGCAATCTATGTAGTAATCACTCCTGACCCCTGCACTCTATGTGTTACACAATTCGAGACCTCTGCATTCTGCATTTTATGCACTCATGACCCCAGCACTCTGTGACCCACAGCAGAATAGGCTCATGTTTTATTTACCCATACCTCTTTACATCCCTCGCACTGTTATCACAATGCATCCTTGCTTTCCTCAGAGTGCCCAAGAGTGGTCCAGGTCTCTCACAATCCTAGCAATGCCCCAATGCTCTGCAACATTGTATCTATTTGTATCCATTTCGGATACAGATGTTTCTATTAGGATACAAATAGATACAATGTTGCAACCGAAATACTTTTAAATGTAAAATATAATAGCGGAGCTCTCTGCAGGGACACTCCGCTATTATTTTTGACATTTACAAGTATTGCGGTTGCAACATTGTATCTATTTGTATCCGAATAGAAACATCTGTATCCAAAATGGATACAAATAGATACAGATGTTCTTCTTTTTCTTTGTCTTCATCTTTTTCTTTCTTTTCCTTCTTCTTGCAGGTCACGGCTCATGCACATATTTTTAATCGGTAAAAAAAGATCGGCCGATTTGCCCATCATTGCCGTGAAAATCGGCCGATCGACAAAATCGCATTAGCTTTTTATTTGGCTATTTGGTCAATCATTTCATCCTTTTGATTACCATGTTCTCAGAGGAATTGTTTCACAAAAAAAAGAGATTTTGTTTTGCCTTTTTGCCTCTCCATAGGGATGTGTGTTATGTAGTTGTCTTTACAGTCTGGACTATAGTTTGGCTGGAGTTGGAGCATTTGTATACTCAGGATATATTCTTGCCCTCTATGTTGTCATATCCAATGCAGTCTTGAGTGTATAATTTTCAACCATGGAGTTAGAGGATCTAAGGCTGCCTCACAGGTAGGCGTTAAGAGCATCCCAGAGCAACAGGTGGTTTGTCTCAGTTCCACGTACCTCTTAAAACAATTAATTTGATCCAAGATTATATCCTTTTCACAAACAGGGTCTAGCAGAATTGATGTTTTCTCCACCTGAACTTGTGTTGAAGGGGCTGAGTAGGAGTAGACCTTGGGTGCTTGTCTCCACAGACCCATCCTGCCCATTAACATTGTAAAGACATAAAGCTGTCTACTACATGAAAGTGCAGTGGTTGGAAATTTGTCCAAATTTATGTCTAGGAGAAGATTATAGTGTGGTCACTGGGACAGGATTTCAAAGAAAATCTCCCCAACGAGAACACAGACAGCAAAAACTTGAAAGCAGTTCTAACTCTTCCACACTCCAGACAAATCTAAAAGTAAACTATATCAAAGACAGCACTGTATGTCTAATGTCATTCATTTATTGAGAATACAAGAAATCATAGATTTACCCGGCCTATCCAGCAATTCATTCATCTGTATGTAGTATAGGGTGGCACAAAACTTGTACAGTAACCAAATAAATAACCAACACTCATGAAATGCGATTTGAAGTCGTTTCTAAGGAAGGGTGATATTAGATGTAGATAAGAGAACAGGAGGATATGTTCTAAGTGTAGTACAATACATATTTATTAGAATCAAGGGCAAATGGCAACTCACATGAAACCTGTTAAAAACGGGCTCATCAACAAAGAAAGAGTCTCTGGTGGACAGATTCAGCACAGCAGGGTACCTCAGTCCAGGGTGAACACACTGGGTAGGTCGGTAGTATTCCTGTAAGGCCAAGAAATCAGACCAGGGGATGCCAAATCCCTCTGCCAAGCCATGTAATTGCAGGACTAAGTCATGAACAGCCAACTATATAACACCCACCGTGTGCTAATGACTGTACATCCCATGCAGATCATAACCTGAATGTTGAAATATCTGCACTCAGTGCCACCAACCCAACATATCTTATTAGTATTGGCCCAGTGGGTACGTGCCCACCAAGCCAGTCATTCCCACATACCCTTCATTTCTTCCACTGCAGAGAAAGAGCCAAATATCGTAGCAACACATATACCCTTTCATCTGTTTTTTTTTTTCTGTCTGACATCATGTAAAAAATGTTGATGATGTAATTTGCCAAAAAATTTCAGTGATAGCAAGTATCCTCTTTTTGGTCACAGAAAGGTATGTAAGCAAGAAAAAAAATTTTAAAGCAAGGTAAATAGATTTGTTTTATTTACTTCATGAGCCCTGTTCCTATTGTGCTCCTCCTAAAAATATGTCTTTGTATCTTTCCAGGAACTCTATTTTTTGACCAGCACCAGGGATTCTGGCTAATCCACAGCATACCTCACTTCCCCCCATTCCCAGAAGATGGCTTTGATTATCCCGATACTGGTAAACTCTTTGGCCAGACAGCCATCTGTGTGACCTACAAATATTTTCAGTTTAAACAAATTAGTAAGTATGCTCTGAAAGGATTGCATTTCATTGAAAACACTTTATCAGCAACACCTGTACACCTGGTTATACATAGAATGATCTAATCAGCCATTCAAGTAGCAGCATCAGTACAATGTATAGTGCTACCGCCTTGAGGGCCATTGGATTTTGCTGGGTTCCCCTAAGCTCTACACAGTCAGGCAACACGCACTTTCCACACTTTCTCCCAAAGTCAGTAAAACAGTCCTTGAGCTTGTTTTTGTTGTTTTTATTGAGGGTTTAACAACTTGGATGGGGTCTAGGGGTATACGGAATACCCAAGGAACTGCAAAACTCGAGCACAACTTCTTTACAAAAACTGTACAAAATGTGGACCAAAAATTAGCAACAGTCTCTCCGTAAGGAGCACTGAGTCCCCTTTGGTATACTTCCTTAGACCCCACATGAAACTCTCCTCATTCACCTGGCTGTTCTGAGGGTATCCCTGGGCAAGGGTTTCCAGAATCTACTGTGAAGCAGTCCCAGATGAGAGCTTGTTGGGTATTGTACCTGACCGCCCTCTCGCTTCTGTGGCCCAGAAGAACTCACACTGTCATGTCCTGTAGCTTTGTGGGTTGCAGCTGCTTTCAGGCCTTGCAGGGGGCTGACTCCTTCCCTGCTAACAGGCTGTCCTCCCTAGGAGACCATAGGGCAGTGTAGATCCTTCTGTCTGCTCAGGCCTGTAGGTGATGCAATCATTCAACATTGAATGGCCACAAAAAACTGAGGCTGTTTTGGGCTCTACCCAGTATTAGTATAATATTCCTAATAAGGTGTTTGATAAGGGTACAAAAAAATATATATTTTATTTAAATGTATCAAAAGATATTCAGATAAAAAAAAAAATGAGCACCACCTATTTCGTTTTAAAGGTACCCACAGGAATGAGTTGAGAGTCACCCATTATGCAAAAACATGCCTAGATGATCTCATATTTATCAGAAGCTTGATCATAATCTGGAGCAGGGATCTTCAATCTTTCTAAACAAAGGGCCAGTTCACTGTTCTTAGGACTTTAGAAGGGCCAGACTGTAGCCAGTGGGAGTAAACAGTGCTCTGTGATCAGTGGAAGTGAACAACGCCCCAGGTTCGGTGGTCACTGGGGTCAATGGGAATAAAAATTGATCTAGCACCTGAGGTCAATGGGGAGAGCAATAGTGCCCCATCATTGGTGTCTGTTGGAAGAGTAGTGCTCAATTATTGGTCTCAGTGAGAGAACTAGTCTCACAGAGGCGCTCATGAGGGTAGCACTACATGAGCACTCATTGTGTTAGTCCAAATATTAGAGTAAATGCTAGAGATTCTTTAAAGAGGATCTTAATAAAGAAAAGTCTTCAGCTACAAATACTGTAGCTGTTGCCCTTTAAAAAAAGGACACTTACCTGTCCAGGGATCCAGCACCATCCTCAGCTGGGTCAGTTCTTCACCAGTCTTTGGGTCCTCAGCACAGGCATGTTAACTAAGGGAAGCTGGCTGTGATGCCTTGTGGTGTTACAGTTGGCTTCCCACTGCACAGTTGCAAGTCATGCTGCGCTTTGTGAATGGTTCTGCATCCTCCTGGGACCTGTGATGTGTCCCAGAAGGCTGCGGGGGTGGGGGGGGGGGGGGGTGGTCGGAGCAGAAGTGGGAGTGGATACCTGCTAAAACTAGATACCCATTCCCGCCTCTCAAAAAAAAACAAACAGTTTAAGTGGGATAGGAGGGGGGAAGGAGGTGTTAAAGTGGAAATCCCCTTTTTAGGGTGAAGTTCTGCTTTAAACCTATCTTAAACAAGTCAACCAAAACCAGAATTTGAATAAATGTATAAAATGAATACTAATGAACATGATTTCTTTTTCTGGGTTTTCCACTGGATAGCTACCCAACTTCTGTACTACAACCCAAATGTTTACAACTGCTCCATCCCCGACCTGTACCAGGAAGATCTATGGGGCCTGTGTACCATATGTCAAGGCAAGCGGTTTCCTTGGGTAGACACAACAAGGATTGCAGTGCTGAGATCAGCAGAAGGAGAATTGTTTTTGAATTTTGCTAAATCCAAGTACTTTGTGGATGGTAAGTAAATAAGGAGTTTGTTTAGTAAACTTGAGCCATCATTGAAGACTATTGTCTCCATGTCTGTGATCCAGAAAAACCAAGCAATCCTTTTGTGAAGGAACATTATTTATGGGGTCCAGGTACCTCTAACAGGCAGGCACAACATTGAATTGACAATTAAAGCCATATTCCAGGAGAATAGCTAAATACACAGATGAAATGCATGTACAGGAACTGTTTTACCTGCCAAGAATTTGTGTTCTTTGCCTATTCAGTTCTAATATGTACACAGCTCTGCTCCATCTGGGGCAGGAGACTTGCTTTTTCTATGCTACAGTTCAGAAATACTACAGGTCTACGCCCCACCCCTACCCTCTTCCTTCAATCAACACGATCCTTGCACTGTAGCACAACCTATTGGCTCCCTGTGCCTCTTCTCCCTCCCCCAGTTCAAGCTTTTCTGTTCAGGGACTGCATGAGGCTGCTATGAATTCAAATTTGCATTAAAAAATTAATTTTTAAATTAAAGTGATTCTAAAGGCTTACAATAAAAATAACAAACATGTCTATACTTACCTGCTGTGTGCAGTTGTTTTGCACAGACCAGTCCAGATCTTCCTCTTCTCGGGTCCCCCGTCGATGCTCCAGGCCCCTCCCTCTTGTCGGGTGCCCCAATAGCAAGCAGCTTGCTTTGGGGGCACCCGAACATGCACACTCCCCAGCCGCTGCTCCGTGTGGTTCGGCCCCTCTCTTCTCATTGGCTCACTGGCTGTGATTAACAGCAGCAGGAGCCAATGGCTCCTGCTGCGGGTCTCAGCTAATGAAGAGAGGGAGTCCTGGGATAGCTGAGACTTCAGTGCACATCATTGGATCGAGAGGGGGCTTAGGTGAACATTAAGGGGAGGCTGCGGGGGATACTGCACATAGATCGCATGAAGGTAAGAAACCTTGTGCCTTTACAACCACTTTCAAACTAAAGGTAAAACTTTTTTTTTTTTTTTTGTTTTAGATGGAGTGGAGAGGGATTAGAATGCCTGCCAGCTTTTTATTGTTTTCTCCAATTCACTCTCTTTATTTTACTTTTACCAAGAGTGTAAGTAAAATAAAATCCCAAATTTTGGGTTGTCACCAGAACAGGAATAAAGGGGAAAGCTTTCTTTGGCCACACCAGTTCCAATGACGCTAGTGACAACAAGGAATTCCCTCGCCTAGTAGGGATTTCCTTCCACAATGGGACACAGATGACAAAAAAAACTGGCATAGATTATATCCTCTCAAAAATGAAAAAAAAAAAGTTTTGCTTTTTAGTTTTATTTTAAAGAATATGTAGACCTTGTAAAACAAGCCATTCAGTTTAAAATAGAAATTAAAGAAAAAAAATTGAGTATAGATATACAGCTGATTTATGTAGCATTTACTTCCTGAAATCCATCAGCCCTTAGCTCGGGCATGCAGGCAGAGGGTGTGCTTAGATCATCAGGCACTGATGTTGGATGAGAAGGCCTGGCTCGCTAGGCCAGTTAAGTTCCTCCACCCCAAGCTCACTCATCCATGTCTTTATGGACCTTGCTTTGTGCACTGATGCACAGTCATGTTGGACCAGGAAGGGGCCATCCCCAAACTCTTCCCACAAAGTTGGGAGAATGAAATTGTCCAAAATGTCTTAGTATTCTGATGCCTTAAGAGTCCCCTTCACTGGAACTAGGGGGCCAAGCCCAACCCCTGAAAAACAACCCCACACCATAATCCCCCCTCCACGAAACTTTACACTTGGCATAATGCAGTCAGGCAAGTACCGTTCTCCTGCCAACTGCCAAATCCAGACACGTCCATCGGATTGCTGGACAGAGCATGACTGGTCACTCCAGAGAACACGTTGTCCCAAACGTGCGCCCCAGAGACTGACGCAGTATGCCATTTTGTTAAGAGTAGCCATGTTATTCCCTCATTCTCCTTCCCCCTACCTTCCTGAGAGGCACAGTGACAGATGTGTTTGTGTACTGGTTATGGGTCACTGGCCGGCCAAGGGATCTCTAGCCAGGTGCCGAGCTGTCTGTGAAAGCTGTATCCTTTCTCATCTAGGAAGAGATAGGACCAGCTTTCCGAAGAGAGCTGGAGTCTCACTGGCCAAAGTACCTGTGTAATTTCACGCCTCGTGAAAAGATAGCTGAGCCTTCCCCAGGAGTTGAAAGGGACTCTGAGGTAATAAACCTAGCTCAGCGTAGGTGACAGAATTATATGAACACTTCTCAAATCCATTTTTCCTCTATATCTCATATCTTGGAATATGAGAGACCTACATAAAAGCCGGACATCTCATCGGATGGACGATGAGCAGGCGAAAAGCTTGATGGGTCACTCGCCTTATCTCGGGCACATGGGAAGGCAGAGAAATAGATCTCGTGAACCGTGTAGCATACAATTTCATAATTCATATCTAAATAATCCCCAGGCTTGTCTGCATAATAATATACCCGCGGGTGGACTGTTGCTTGTGCAGATGGGAAGTTATGGACCAGAATATGAATTATGAAAGATGTTGGCTCCAGTCTAGGGTTCCGCCTGACGACCCCTCCCTAAGCAGGGGATTGGTCTTTTACTTCAGAACCACCCCCTGCTGGGAAACTTTAAAGCAGGCTGTCAAGCCTAAGAGGAGGGAGTTGAAGCATTCTCCCATTTTTCCATCGTAACACAGGGAGATCAAAGCACCCATCTGCTCTAAAACTTGGATCTGCTAACCCAAGGCTTAATGGCAAATAACTTAACCCTTTAACTTCTCATGGTTATCTCTTTGCTGTACTGTGTTGTTTTCTGTACATGTATATATATATATATATATATATATATATATATATATATATCTTGGTTACATCTTCTCTGTAAATATTTTTATTGCACCTGTTTGACCCTTTTAGTAATAAATCTCCCTTTCTGAAAGTGTTGAACTGTTTCTATAGCTCTTAATTGCAATCTACGAATCCCTGCCTTTAAAGAGACGCTACTGTTTGTTTTAACCCTCTGTATAACAGGCCTATATTATGACCGGGTTATGCAGTCGATTATATCAACCATTATAGTGTTATAGCGGAACGCCGAGTTTCCTCTTTCTCTGATCAAAAAGGAGGTGGTGGCAGTGTGAAGGGGTTAATTGCGTAATTAACCTGACCCAGTAACAATCGATTCAGGCTGCTGGCACATCGATCGGTATCCATTAGCTGGACAATCGTTGTGCGGGGTGCAGCTGGGTGTGGCATTGTTACGCCCGTCACATCACGGTTTTAGGTCAGCTAGCCCTTCAGTCACGAGTTTTGGTGAGAAGGTCTGGGGTCTGACGCCGCGATCGTGACACACGTCTCCACTGCTCTAGAGTCCAGTGGCGGCGTGCTTTACACCACTGCATCTGACGCTTTGTATTGCACTTGGTGATGTAAGGCTTGGATGCAGCTGCTAAACCATAGAAACTCATTGCATGATGCTTTCTTCCCACTGTTGTTGTGCTAATCTGAAGGCCACATGAAGTTTGGAGGTATTTAGCTGTTGACTCTACAGACAGTTGGCGACTTCTGCGCACTGTGCGTTTCAGCATGCGATGACCCCGCTCTGTCATTTTACGTGGCCTAATACTTTGTGGCTGAGTTGCTGTTGTTTCCAGTTGCTTCCAATTTATTATAATACCAAGAACAGTTGACCGTGGAACATTTAGAAGCAAGGAAGTTTCATGCATGGACTTATTGCACAGGTGGCAACCTATCACGGTACCACGCTTGTATTCACTAAACTCCTGAGAGCGACCCATTCTTTCACATATGTTTGTAGAAGCAGTCTGCATGTCTAGGTGCTTGATTTTATACACCTGTGGCCATGGAGGGGATTGGAACAGCTGAATCCAATGATTTGGAGGGGGGTCCCAATACTTTTTACAATATAGTGTATCCGAGAGGCAGAAATTGCTCATTGCTCAAGCAACCCCTAGCAATGTCCAGAGGAACTGTAGGGTTCTATGGAACCCCGGTTCAGAAATCCTGTGCTGCTCGTCTTTCACTGTGTGATTGTTTTCATAATGCTTGTCTAATAGATATCTTCACGGCCTGGATGGCTCAAGTGCTGAATTCAGACTTACTGACGGAAACATGGCAACCAAAGGGGAAAGAGCTTCCATCGAACTGTTCTCTGCCATGGCATGTCTACAACATACGGAGGATCTCCCTGCCAAACCTTTCCTTCTACTCTCATAATGATCATTCAAAGTGGTGTGTTTCTGAGATGTACAGTAGGAGTTGGATATGCATTGGAGACCTGAATCGCTATCCTGAGCAGAAATGGAGAAGTGGAGGCTTCATTTGCACCCAGAAGGAGCTCATATTTAGAGCATTTAGGAGTATGGTTGCTTACTACACTGAATGCAAATAGTATGTTCATTTACAATTTTTTTTGTTATACTTAAAATTTTTTTTAAAAAAAATCAATTATGTCCCAAAAGCAAATGAAAGTAAATGTCTGCCCAAGATTCTCAAACCTCTGACTTATCTCTAACACCTTACCCGACCCCTGAACAATGTTGTGAAAAATATTGCATTTTGAGTGTATACGCTAATAAATGTAGTTTTGTGTTTTATACTGTATATCAATTCATTATTTCCAAACTCAGAGATGGATGCGAACCTCCATTTTGGCAAAGGCCTCCATCTTCTATCATTTTCTACTCCCAAATCAGCTTTCCTCATCCCCCCTCCCTCTCTGTTGAGTGACATGTGGTCTGTTTGATGCAGAGTCCAAAAAGGCATCAAGGCCCAGCGGGAGAGCTCATGGCTATAAACCCCAATTAGCCTGGCCCCCAGGTGTCTGCGAGACACTGCTTGTAAAAGGATCGTAAAGCCATAAACCAAGCCCTCACTGAGCTTCAAAAGACATTCTAGCTAGCTGTGAAACAGACTTACCCAATGTTCCATATAATTTTATATCTCCAAATAGGAAATAATTACACAAACATGGAGCACATATTCGGATGGCTCACTTTAATACAAATCGCCTGATATATTAGCTAGCTGACAGCTCCAGGAGAGCAGAAAATGACATCTCCTTTACCGTCCTAGCAGGTATGTCATATTTCATATCTAGATGTTCAGCAGATGATTCTGCGTATTAATCTACCCGTGGATAGAATGTTACATGTACCTAGGAAAAGTTATTGGCCATAGTATAATTTGTGAAGGCTTTGGTCAGAGCCTGAGCTCCCCGCCTACAACTCCCTCCCCAAATGAGGCGATTGGTTCTCTGCTTCAGGGAGACACCGTGCTGAGATCCTAGAAAAAGGCTGTAATGCTTGGAGCTAAGCGAAGCTGAGTTGAAGTTGAAGAAGCTCCCTTTTAACATCGGAACCAACTTTGGGAGATATGGCCCTTTTGCTCAGAAAACCTGAAAGCTGTTTAAACCAGGACTTTTGGCAAGTACTTTATCTTTCTAAATTCCTTTCTGTTATCTCTTTGCTGTGTTATTGCTCTCTGTATATTTATAGATATATATTGGCTACATCTTTTTCTGTAAATATTTTTATTGCACCCTTTTGACCTTTTAGTAGTCAATCTTACTTTCTGAAAGTGTTGAACTGTTTCTAAAGCTCTTCAATGCAAACTAAGAACCCCTGCCTCTGAAGAGTGCTACTGTGTGTGTTTAAACCTCTGTATAACCTGCCTGCGGTGACAGACGATTATTCAAACATCATAGTGTTATTGCTGATATTGCCGAGTTTCCTCTTTCTCTGTACAAAAAGGAGGTGGTGGCAGTGTGAAGGGTTAATTGCGTAATTAACCTGACCCAGTAACAATCGCTCCCAGGCTGCAAGTACACAGATTGTGGTCCACTAGCTAGAAAATCTTTGTGCAGGGTGCAGCTGGGCGTGGCATTGTTACGCATGTGACATCACGATTTTAGATTGGCTAGTCCTTCGGTCACGAGTTTGGTGAGAAGGGCTGGGGTCTGACACCGCGATTGTCACAATGTGCACTGCTCTATTCCCACTACAAATCCCATGGTTCATAGTCCATCTTGGGAGCGAGCACAAAAGAGGGTGGCTATGTTCCTACATAGAGTGAAACCACGGAAAATGAAAGTAGCCACCCTCAGAAATCTCATAACAGCAGCAAAAAAAAAAAAAAATTGGAAGAGGCTGAGTTCAATAGAAGACACTTTTTGAGTTAAAAATACACACATACAATAGAATTTTTGGCTGTGAAATCATTTGATGTTTAAAGAATATGTAAATCCAACATTTCCTATTCCTGTTATGTGCTTGCTGTACCATGAACTTGCATGAAAAAGTATCCTGCTCTCTTTGTATTGCTTCCTCTGTGTGAAATCCCTGGTGTTCCTGCCAGTCCCTCTGCTTTCCTATTAAAAACTGATCACGCTAGGCATGAAAGTACAGTATGGTTAGTTTTCTGGCTGTGCTGCGAATTCAGCCTGCTCTCATCCAATGTTCTGACTTATCCTGACATGCCCCTCCTTGCACAGCCATTCACTGGGAAGTTCAGCATGCTGTTTTGTCCTCCCCCTGGTCTCTGTTCTCAGCAGCATAAGGAGCTTAGAGAATATGTAATCACTTATAAAGCATGGGAAAAACAAGGTGTGTACAATGTTTTTTTTTTATATCTGTTTTGCTTTTCATTTCCATTTTAAACTGAATGGGTTGTTTACAAGGTGAGGGTTTACTAAAATTGAAGCTGAACTCCAGGCACACAGTTAAATACACGGATGAAATATATCTGGGAGCTGTTTTACCTGGCAAAGGTTTTATATTTCTATCTATCAGTTCTAACATTCATGCAGCTCTGCCACACAGCACATCCCTCTCTGGCAGGGCAAGAGACTGATTGTTTCCTTGTTGCAGTTCAGTAACACTTTATATCACTCTGCTTACTCCTCCAGTCAGCATGTTCCTTGTCAGCACATGAACTGTTAGGCTCTTTGTGCTGCTTCTTTCAGTCCCAGTCTCAGCTCTGCAGGACAAAGATGCAAGAGGCTGCTACCAGATCAAATTCAGGTACTTACACTGCTTGCATTTAAAAAGGCATTTAACCACTTGCGCTCCAGAAAAATGTACCTCCTTCCTGACCAGGCCATTAGTTGGTTTTTGTCAGTGTGCTACTTTAACTGGTAATTGCGCAGTCATGCAACACTGTTCCCAAACAAAATGTATATAATTTATTCACACAAATACAGATTTTTTTTGGTGGCATTTGATTACCACTGGGTTTTTTATTTATTGGGATATAAATGAAAACAAAAGAGCGAAAATGTAAAAAAAACAAACAAATATTTTTTACTTTAAAAAAAAAAAAAAAGTTAGCTGCTGCAAAAACTGTAGCTGATGACTGTTAAAAAACAGCCACTGACCTGTCCCTCGATCTCGCGGGGTCCTCCCCGCAGCCGGTCTGGTGTTCCCGGTGCCGGCATCCCCCGGTGTGGGAACCCAGCGGTGATAGCTTGCGGCTTCACAGTCGGGTGCTCACTGCTCAAGTGCAAGTAGCGTTGCGCCTTGTGAATGGCCCTGTAGTCTTTTGGGACATGACACATGTCCCAGAAGACTACAGGGAGGGGGGTGGGGGAAGGAATGATCACCTAGACGATTGCAGCTGAAGTGAGAGCGGATACCTGCCAAATTCAGGTACCTGCTCACCCCCTCTGCAAAGGTGCCAACCTTTAATGGGGAGCGGGGACCAGTCTTTAAAGCGGACCTTCCCCTTTTGGGTGGAGCTCCCCTTTAATATTTCAATAAATGTTTTCATAGCTGTCAATTTATTGGCCAGTTCCAATTTCACAATTGTGTGAATTCTAGTGGTCGATCAAATTCATAGTTCATTAGTTTCAGATGACTATTTGCGATCGTATGTGCGATTCCTGTGTGGAAGGAAAGTGGCTGAAATTCACCAGAAATTGGCTTGTGTATGGTCAGCTTTCTTGATAGGATAATCATACAGAATTGTAGTTTTCAATTTCTTCCACTAGATGGCAGTCTGATGACAGTGAACACATGATGTTCAGTACACTGTCCTTGCTCTATGAGTACTCAGGGTTCCTTTCTAAGTTGTATGGATGGGGTGGGGGGGGAATCATTATTATATAAGAGGCAAGTGGTGAGGTGACATCACGATCTTTGAGCAACTTTACAATTCTCACCAACCTCAGCTCAGAGTGAACAGTTTTAAATTTTATTTAACCACTTGAGCTCCTGAGGATTTACCCCCCTTAATGACCAGGCCTCTTTTTGCTACTTGGCGCTGCACTAATTCAACTGATAATTGCGCGGTCATGCAATGCTGTACCCAAACAAAATTTACGTCCTTTTTTTCACACTAATAGAGCTTTCTTTCGGTGGTATTTGATCACCTGTGCGCTTTTTATTTTTCACACTATAAACAAAAAAAGGCCAAACATTTTGAAGAAAAACAATATTTTTTATTTTCAGCTATAAAAAATATATAGTAAACTCAAAGTTGGTTATAAATTTAGGCCAAAATGTATTCTGCACCATGTTTTTGGTAAAAAAAATCCCAATAAGTGTATATTGATTGCTTTTTGTGGAAGTTATAGCGTCCACAAACTATGGTATAAATACTGCAATTTACGCCATTTTTCTGCTATACAGCGCTGCACTAGTTTAACGGACAATTGCGCGGTCATGCAATATGGTACATAAATGAAATTTACATCCTTTTTTTCCCCACAAATTGAGCTTTCTTTCGGTGGTATTTGATCGCCTGTGCGGTTTTTATTTTTTGCGCTATAAAAAAAAAAGGCTGACAATTTTGAGGAAAAAAAAAAAACAATATTTTGGACTTTTTGCTATCAAAACATGTCTAGTAAAAAAAAAAATGCAAAAATCAAATTTAGTCATAAATTTCTGCCAAAATGTATTCTGCGACATGTCTTTGCTAAAAAAAACCCAATACGTGTAAATTAATTGGTTTACGTGAAAGTTATAGCGTTTACAAATGGCGGGAAAGATACTGGGATTTTTAGGGTTTTTTTTTTATACTGATAATGGCGGCGATCAGCGAATTATGGCGGCGATCAGCGACTTATGGCAGCGACCAGCGACTTATGGCGGGACTGCGGGACTGCGGCGGACATTTTGACATTGGGAGGTACTGAATTGGGGTCACTGACATCCCCAAAAACACTAATACAGTGATCAGTGCAAAAAAAAAAAAACTGACACTGTACTAATGGCAATGGGGAGGAAGGGGTTAACTTTATTTAGCAGGCAAGGGTTATAGGAGTTAGGGGAGTGTTTTACTAGGGGGCGGGGGTGTGTGCTGGGCAGGACAAGGCTGATCGAGAAAGAAAAACTGTTCTTTCTCGATCAGCTCATTCTCGAGCTGTCAGGGAAGTGACAGACAGCACAGCTACTG